GCCCAGCCGGTGCCCGGCGAACCTGCCCGTTCACCGCCCCCGAGGCGCGCACCGGCACCTTCCGAGGCACCAGCAGCAGCGCTGCCCCGCGAGCCGGAGGGCGATGACCACCGCATATGTGGGTGGCGGAGGGGATGCATGTTAAAATGTGATGCGTGCCCCCCAAAAGGGCTTTTCTTGCGGGAAAGCTCCTCTACCTCCGACGTTCAGCTAGGCGGATGCATCTTTTAAAAGGCAGAGACATGCACGGGCAAAACCGAACATACTAAAAATTGCTAAATCATGAACGAGGGGAAGGGGTCCGTATGGGCTGGTGTGTCGTGTTGGCACTGCTGCATGCTTTGAATTCTTGAGGCTGTTATTAGTTGTCTAACTAAATGAAATCGTGTGGCAGAAAGGTACGTTTTACATTTAGGTAAGAGGAACGTAAAGTGTAAAAAGACCAATGAAAAACAGTATAGCAAAACAGCACAGAGACTGATTTTCAAAAGGTGTGACTTGAGCTGGTTTATTTTACACAACAACTTTACTTTTTCTACCAGGCAGAAGTGTTACGTGCTTCAGATATACAAGTAGTACTGAGTTACAATGACTGTAAAATTACAAGGACAATAGCTTATCCTCGTTTTAGTATGGGATTTTTTGCACATCATTACATGCAGGGATTTACTCTAGTGATGGGAGCCTGTTGTCTGCCACAGGACGTAAGAGCAGCTAGAAGAAATGTCTGATGCCAAACTACTTCTGTGCAGTCAGATTGCCCTTGATAAAATATGACACATCATAAGAAACAGCAGTTTACGAAAATGTGAAGTAACTGTAAATCGGTTTATGCAGAGCAATTGCTGTGATACATTTTAAAAGATTAAAAATGAACCTTTTTTAACTTGCAACTAGCAAATTAGTTTAAACATGAGAGAATAAAACCGTGTAGAGGTACATGACCACACTTCATATTTAGTTTGAAGTTCTTGAGGGTGTATTTAGTTTTTTAGAGAAGGCATAAGAACTGTTTCATACTGCGTTTCAATGCAGATTTTAAGTCTTAATTGGAAGGTAAGTACTTCACAGGAACTGTTTTCACTTTGCATGGGTGGAAGCTGGTAATCATTTATATAAAATACGGCTGTTAAGAAAGGCTTCATTGTGTGGCTGTAATTCCCATACATTATGCACTGTAACAAACTGTGTACAATGACCATGTATATCTAGAAAATATGCATTAGAGAGAAGGGTCTGTTATGTCGATTACTCTATCACTGAGCATGGTTCACACCTGAAAGTGATTCTTTTATCCAGACTGCTTTAAAAAGCCTTGCAGGCTGAAGTAGGGAGATGTGCACTTCGACGCAAGCCCCAATGTAAGCTGCAGTGAAGTGTTGCATGTCCTCAGCCAGCTGTACTTCACACGGTTTCCTTCTCCAACAGATTGGGAAACAGAATGCCGTTTGATGCAGCCGCTGAACCTGACCATGCCCACGGGTCATTAAAGTCTGAATCAGACATTTTGCAGAACACACTACCTGAAAATGAGAAATTCTATTTTGATCTGTCAAGAATTATTGATAGGTGAGTTTTTTTGTTATCATAAATGCAAATGGTGATGCACTGGTTGAATTATGCCAAAAGATCGGTCAAATTTTCAAACTCAGAAATTGGAAAGGAAGAATCAGTTAGAGAAAAAACCCACATAGCCTCTGGTTGAGTACTGGTAGCAGTAGGAGTGTCTGCAGAAATGTTGATTGCATTGCCGTTCTGGCATGATGAATTTGAATTCATTCACGTCCCAAGAAGGGCTAAAAAATATATTGTGAAAATCTGGAAGTTATCTTATGAAATTAGCTTAATTTAATATGTGTAATAGATAACTTAAGCAAAGCAGTATGTTTACAAACTGAAAGTTATCAAAATGATATGAACCCAGGTTGTATTGTAGAGTTTATTTATTGTCCATTTCAGAAATGCAAGGCATGCTGATGGAATTTTCACCAGTGTCTACAGCCATCTTTTGGCTAAACTTGCTGTGAAGAGATATCTGCATTCGCTTATTAGAAAACGAGTTAGGTGAGGTGACACTTACATTAGGTAGAGTTTTTTTCCTAGATGGCTTCATTGGCAATTTTTTACCCTTCTGTACCTAAGTTCTCATTTTTGCAATTTAGAGATAATGAAAGAGAAATTGATATAATGATGGGGGAGCTGAAAATCCTATATAACAACTTAGTGGTATTTGTTACTAAATGAATACGTTACAATTTATTCCCGATACAGCTGTGAGGGGTAGAGCAACAGACACTGCACATAGCACTGATAGTAAATACTGGCAATATTATAATGATTACCATGCCAATTTGATAATTTTTTTTCTCTAGTAGTGTTTTTACTAGCTTGGTGGATGAATGGCAAAAGCAATCAAAATGATTGATTACTCAGTACTTACGTAACAACAGGGGAATGCTCAATGAAGTTACAGTGAACATAAAAAGGAATGCTTTTTTTTCATACGTAGAACCTATTGCCAGACATGGGAGAGCAGCATTCTAGAAGGATTCGAAAAAGAATGAGGCAAATCCATAGACAAGGGATCTGGATGCAACTTCCAGACCAGGACGTTCAAAAACTAAAGGTCGCAGGATGCTGGGAAGGATCACTGAATACTCCCCTTGTTTCCACATCCCTAAGCAGCAGCTACTGGGCAGTCTTGGGAATGGAATAGTAGAATACTTTTGGTCTGACCCAATATGACAGTTCCTTTGAGTGCCTACTTCATATGCTCAAAAGCCGAGTCAAAAGTAGGTCCTGTATTTATGTCAATGCTGCCTTTGTTCCAGAACGTATAATGCCAGTTTCTCATATGCTATAAACTAACATAGATCATTTAAAGCAGAACACACTGAGGCTTCCCAAGATCGTGCATGAAAACTAGATCTCCAAGTCTGGATTTCACAGGGTGTGTTTTGTCTCCCGATACATCCTAAAAGCAAGCATTTGTAGCTAAGTGTGCGATGCTACACTCTTGCTTTCCTCAGAGGCAGGCTCTGTCCTCATGAAGTTCAGTATGAACAGTGACCAGGTCCTTTAAGAGCTTACTGTGACTTAAACCAGTGGGCACCTTGGCATTGTACTACTGAAATATATTGATGCAAATGATAGAAATCGGAATAAAATCAGTTTATTAAAAAGAGTAACCTGGACTATGAGAACAGGCAAGAGGGAGTCGTGAAATCCATGCTCCGCCATTTGATCCTGCAGAATTCCTGGGACAGGGACTCTAGAAATCATTAAGTTGAGCAGAAGAAAGAAATCAGTGGAAGGTGTACCCAAAAAACTGAATACGATCCTTAAAATTTGATCCTTATTACTAAAATAGCTAGTAAGAAATAGAAGTAGTGGCTTCTTTTCAACAGAAGAAAGAAAGTTCCAAAGTCATAGTTGGAAATGACAGCTGAAATGAAAATTGATTTTATTTGATTTAATCAACACTGTAAAGTTTGTTTCACTCATTTAATGGCATCTGCTTTTAAATGGATATCATCTATTAATTTTTTCTTTGTAATTATTGTATTGCCAGCTCCCAGGACAGTCCTGTCAAACGCCACTCTGACGCTGTCTTCACTGACAACTACAGCCGCTTTCGAAAGCAAATGGCTGTGAAGAAATACTTAAATTCAGTTTTAACTGGAAAAAGAAGGTACTACAAGAAAGCAAATATATATTGTTTCCATACTTGTATGGTATTAAGGCAGAAAAGATTTATACCCGTGTATGTATAAAGAGATGACAAACAAAAGGCAATGAACATTAATGACTTTATAACATAGTTTATAACATGATTTTCAAATACAGACAGCGTTTTCTTCCAGACTGGAACAGACACTACAATCAGATTAGAATTAAAGAATAAAGAGGAGACAGCATCTGGCAATTTTAAAAAGCATCTGACAGATTCCTAAAATGGTTTCATCTATAAAAAAGCCTCTTAAGGAAAAATCCACGGAGCTATGGAACATGAACAACAATATTATAAAGAAAATGCACTATTTGTTGAAAATTTGCCTTTAAATAAACACATAAAATGAAAATTTAGAAGTCCCAGAAAGACCATGTGTCCTAATCAGTATAGGTGAGAAGTGCCAGCCTCTGTTTTTGCAGAACGTATATTCTGTTTGTGTATTTGCTCATTTAGACAACTGCTTTTAAATATCATGGCTCTTCACCCATTAAATGTGCTATTTCATGTGATTCATAACACTTTGGTAAAAGTGTAACAAAATGGGCAATAGATACAGCTAGAAGAAAGTTTGGTTGCTTGTTTGCTTTTTCTTCTGAGAGCTATAAAACTTGTTTCTGATCTGCAACAGCCAGGAGGATCTAAACCCCGCTAAACTTCGAGATGAAGCAGAACTTCTTGAACCTTCCTTTTCAGAAAACTATGATTCTGTAGATGAGCTGCTGAGCCACCTCCCGCTGGTATGCCCAGATTTTCTCTCCTCTTGCTACCTATTACTTGACTTGACCCATAAAATGAGATTATTCATACATGAAGTGTGACCTATCAGAAATGCAGAATCGTCTGGGAAGGAGCCATGTTCCATGAAACACTGCATGTTTCTATAGGGATTGTGTCTGAGTATAATAATAATTTTAATAACAATAATTAAGTTATCCCATGATTACTGTTATTGAAAATTCCTAATTAAACGGCACTAAATTCCTATTAATGGCACATTAATAACGCACCTAACTCACTTGGGTGTTTTGACTTGTGTGCACGCCAGCATAAAACCAGAATTGACTCATTTTTAATTTCAAAGATTATTATTTCTTCAGAAAACAAACTCAAAGGTTTTTCTTTTAACTAAAAAAAAGCTGCACATTTTGTTTAACATCTATTTCATTAGAAGGGAGTTTGCCCCTAGAACTAAGAGGATCAGCAACAGGAACCCTAGGCATTAAGAAAGCACTTGACTCCCATCTAAGGTGTCTGCAGAGGGATTGTCTGACATGCAAATATTACAGCTACTTTTTTTCCATTTAGCTACTTCTATTTTTCTAAAATCATTCAGAAATATGTTTCTTTGGTTTACTGAGATGTAAACGCTTCTACATCACAGCGCTTGCAGGGACATAAAATTGGAAGGGTAGTGTAGAAGTGAATCAGGCTTGGTCTTCTCAAAAGTGTGTTATGAAATTGATGATAGGGATGGTTTTTGGCATTCAGATGTGTATCAGCTAAAAGTAAGAAAAAAGGCTACTCTTGAAGATAACTTTTTTTGGGGGGGGAGGGGGATAAAAGAAAACACATTTCTCCAAACTGTTGTTTCCTTCCAAGACTGAAAGAAAATGTTCTTTTCCTTTCCACAAACGTGGTAGTCCCTCTTAAGTTCCCAAAGATTAGAAAGGACATAAACTGCTTACGCCTCAAGGAACAAAACAATTTGTAAGTGATGGGATTCAGGAAAGAAGTGTTCTTTCTAGGCAAGATTATTGCAAAAATGTCTGCTCCTGGATTCTGAACCTTCTAAAACTTCTGGCATTCACTAAGTGAGAGAGGGTAGTGGTGCCGCAGGTCGCGGGCGTCTCCCTGGAAATATTTTCGATCCTTTCCCTTTTTATGGACTGTACTGATGATCCAGCTCTCCCTATAGGCGAATGGCTTACTCGGTATTGACTGCTACTGGTCATGTTATCGCCGTGCCCAGTCGCTGAGGTAGCGTGTATCAAGCAACCTGAATTCGTGTATCCATTTCAAGGACACAGTTGTTCTCGAAGTGAGATGTTCTGCACTGTAGGCCAATGTGCAGTAACATTTTTGCCTAACCCTTCAGCCTCCCTTCGTCTTCCTACAGCCTGGTCTGCTGGCTGTAATGCCCGCCGAGCTCCTGTGAATAGCTCCATCTCATGCTTGTCGGGCCCAAGCGCAGCAGTTCTTTTATATCAAATGCTACTCCCGTCCGCTGTCCGCTTTTATACACCTCGTGATGCGACTGCTTACGAAAATTACTTTTAAAACGTATTTCTCCTTTGCTTTTCAGGACCTCTGAAGGACACCTGGTAAAGTCTATGACGAGAACAAGCTATTTTTGAGTTCCACATAGTATTTCAAAGAGATGACTGTAGTCATCAAACCAGAACAAATATGTTGTGAAGTGAAAGTTGTGATATATTTGTTTCTTATGTAATAAAAGTTGATATTTACATTGTAAATATTACTCTAGAGTTCTCTACTGAAAGCTGTACATAAGGATGCCAGTGTAACTCATGAGAAGTCTGTAAGTCCGTATGCTGTAAATCCTTTACTTCAATAAATTCATTTGAAAATGAGTATGCAGCTGACAAGAGCCCATCATTACTAATTAATTGGCTTATTGTAGGTGTGGTACAACTTCAGATAAGCCTGTATCATAATAGGGATACATTTCCAGATAGATTCATAAATAAGTGTAAACACATGAGGAAAAGTATGCACAAAGTGTGTAAAACTGCATTACAAAGATCTCTGAAGTTTACTGCTAAGCAAAAGGGAATGCTTTCCTAGCAGCTTACCAAGCAACTAGAGAAAATGAAAAAGCATTAGAAATTATTTTACCTCCAGCAGCATCTTTCCCACCTGTTCACATTTTTAATATTTCACAGTATACAAATTATATTAAGACCAGAAATGTATCCTTTATTTTCACTTGTGTTTTGGATGGTCAGGAGCTGACAAACATGCAAAGAATGCTATCCCTTGATTCGTTTGATGCCTGAAGTCAATGGTTATTCTACATTTAATTGTCTGTAGCTTTGATGATGACACTATTCCTTACATATAAAGTAGATCTGAAGACGCTTTACTATTTTTTCAGAATTGATGTAATTTACAGAATATGCAGACAATAAACCATTTTATTATCACAGCAAACTGTTACGGGTTTGAATCAGTGCTGCAGGTACCTGGAAGAGTAGAGGTGCCAGTAAGTCCTGTCTCTACTACAGTAAGAGAGGAAGACATTATTTTTCAACTGAGGTATACTATGCTGTATTAGAAAGACAAGCAAGTAAGCCTCCAGATCCCATTTCAACTGGAAATTTGCAGCTGGTTCACTGTTGCTGTGAATCATAATCTGGTTGTGTTCTATTAAACTTGTAAATTTAACCAACTGGATTATTTTCTACAGAGTTATGTACTGTTGTAAGGACCGACAGTTCCAGTGCAGTAAGGAAAGTGTGTGGTACTGCATGCACAACATATGAAATGCATATTCATGCATGATACCAGCCATAACAGTCCCATGACTCCCCTCCCACCTCCTAGAAAGAGATGAAATTTGAAGTAGAAAATCTTATCAGACCTACTTACAAGTTCAATTTGGAATTTCAAGTACATTTATATATCATACATATGCACACAGGCAGTGATAAAACTGATTTACAAGTTTCACTTAGAAGTTTACTGTTCTCATTTAGAAGGAAGCTTCAAACATGATAAAATTTGAGATTTATGCGGGCTAGTTCTCATAAATATGTAACCTTACTTACAAATTTTTTTAATATTGGCAACTGCATGTCAAAAGAAAACCAGCTTACGCAGATCAAGTGCTATAATTGCTATTTCTACCTAGCCTTGACAGAATTTATTTTAGCCTAAGCCAATGAATGGTTCACAAAAGTTGGATATAATTTTGAAATCTTCTATTGAAAAGTGATCATCTAATGGTGGTCGACTCTAAACGCCTATCTTATTATGAAAATTTGAGTGCAAAAGTGGCTTTGGAAATACTTGAAGGGTACCAACAGACTGATGCTTTAGTACTTAATTGGAAATTTTCTTCAGTGTAATTTGAACTTTGTTAGGATTTCTGTGATAAGTCATCTTTAAAAAAAAAGTTAAAAAAATTAACCAGAAGCAAAGCTGCATATGGTCTTCAAACACATAACTTTTTGTTTAAATAATACATAATGTTTACTCACTCAATTTAGAGTAACAAAAATTAGAGAGATCAAACTTCTGACTCCACAATTCCAGAATAATTGTTTTTGTAAATTTACCTTTTTTATTGATTTCCAGTTTACCAATAGGGCATATGATGGAAGAGCTTCTCTTCCATGTCTAATGTTTAATCTCCTCAGTACTTTGTTCTCCATAGAAAACTGCAGAACTTTAGAACATGTATTTCCTCTGTTACAATGGAGATGGAGCAGGTTACAGAAAAAAGGGGTGCTTATTAGGAAATCATATATATAATATATTAAAATACAAAATTAATACCTCAATTATTATCCCTAAAATAATACTGTGATAGCTTCCTCAGAGGCTTAGCAAATAGAGGCAGTCTAAAAGACATGCTAAATTTTATGTACATTTTAGCAAAACCTATCACTGAGAGATATTATCCTCCAGAATAATATACCTGAGTTGGTATTTGTGTTAAAGGATGGCTTTTAACTTGTCATAGCAACTTTTGACATTCTGTAGGAGATATAAGGCCCAATTAATACATTGAGACGAGTTAATTGTGGAAGTTGTAACTTTGTTCACCTCAGTTCCACAGGCAAGTCGTTATGGTAAGGTTAAATGGTAAAGTTGAATTAAAAATTGCAACATTTCACTGAATGAGACAAATTTTCAGTCTGTCAATGAGTCCTGACACATCACCGATCTTACAACCCATCTGCAAAATATCACAAGAGTGGTATCAAAGTGTTGTGTTAATTAGGAGAAGGAAAGGGGCAGCTCCAAAGAGAGTGTCAAGAGGAGTGCTGGGAGGAAAACAAATACCTGGGAGATTTAGAAGAGCATCCCTGGCAGAGAGAGTGCAACCACCCGGGAGGAAGGAATAAAACTGTGAGGTGTTATTGGGGTATATGTTAAAGAAACATCATGTTTCTCCAGAATTTCACTTCTAACACAGGGTAGGAATACCTGTGATCGTAGAGGATAGAACTCATTATTTTATTTTGTTTTATTGAATGGGTTTTGCTTTTTGGACCTACCTCATGGAGCTGCTAAAGAAAGGGACAGAATCACCTCTAAGTGCATCTTTACCAGCACTGGAAGGGGATATTTGCTGGTCCTGAATCCACAGAGAGGATTTGCGTGCTTGTGTGCATCTGTACAATCATCACCCACTCAAGAGCAACCCTCAGGACCGTGTATAAGATCGTGAGAATTACAAAAGTTGACAAAACATTTTAAAATTACAGCCAGTAAAAGCACATTAAAAATGAATAAAACCCAAACAGCTCCTCTGATATTTTAAATAGGTTTGAGGGACTATAAGTATTTGTTCCACCTGAAAGTCTGAGACAAAATTTCTGTCTGAAAATATGAAAATGGGTGCCTTGGATTCAAAGCATAGATATAACTTCATTTATAGGAATATTGATTTCTCCCCAAAGACAGACGTTTTGGGAAGAGATGTAGGTCTACAGGAACAATGCTTGCAAGGCATTAGGGGAAGGTAGATGGAAAAGGCTGTCTGCTACCTCTTGTGCTACTACCTATGCTTTCCACTAGCTCTTTTATTTTTCCCTAATTTTCTCCCTCCCTCCTCCACTTACCTCAAGCTCCCCCACTCTTTGTTAGTACCGTCACCTGTGGCTTGCAAAGCTAGCGCATGAACGCATACCTATGTTTTCGAGAAGAACAATTACAGCAGACCCTAAATTGATGCTGCAGCCACCTAATAACCGCCAGCCTTCGTTATGGAGGCGGGTATTGCAGAGAACCTGTCACAACCAGATGTGCAGGAGCAACCCGTCCTGCCCACAGACAGCCCCTGACTTCCCGCGGGGGCTTCCCATTTGGCTTGTGGCTGGCGCAGGAGGCTGACCTTTCCTTGGATACATCAAACAGAACATGGGGCCTCCCGGGGCCGACGCTGGCTCAGGCAACTACAGTATTTTCAGCTCTTCGCCTTTCTGCTTTGGAAGAGTCACATACAAATCGCTTGCCAGGTTGACAAGCTGGCTTAGGATTGGAGGTAGGAAACTAGACACCGGTCTTTTACATCGGTCTTTAAAAAAGTCTGAAGAACAATTTGATGCGCCTTCTGCTTTTGAAGTAGAAATGGGAAAAGTTTTACTTCAGTTTTATACAGGATACATGCAGCTCACTTAGTAGGGAGGGGAAAATACAGCTTTCCCTTGTGAGGATAAGTATTTTCAATAACTTAATTGATTGACATTTGTAAATAAAAATATGACTGATTATTCAAAGATTAAGCTGAAAGTGACATAAGTCATAACGGTACAGTGAAAAAGAAAATTCTCTCATCTAAATATCAACATTGTCATGGCAAGAACAATATTTTAAATAAAGCACGTTTTTGGGAAAGAATGGGGGTTGTTTCAATAATTAGGGGGAAAAAAGAGGATAAAGATCCTGTCCTTCCCTATTAAGTGAATTATTTAATACTAGATGGAGTTTTGCATAGGATAATACATTTAAAAGGATGTATGTGAGGTTGGATGCATAAGATCCATTTTCTGGCTCTTTTCTGGAACTGGTCTGGAGTTTAGAAGCCCTATTTCACATTTCAATGAGACCACAGGATCTAAGACCCTAAATTATTTCCAAACACGGGCTATAAATGCTTTTAATATGTTTATCCTATTACTCTATATTTGTCAAGTCAGAATTTGCTCTTATCTGACACATACCCTCTTTTTGGCATGGTGGAAAAGCAGAAGAGAAGCTAAAAACAGTCACTGTCTTCTACTGTTAGATGAGATGAATCAGTGAAGACCTTTCTACTTAGGAAATGTACACAGAGCAGCAATTTTTGCCAGTAGCATATGAAATAGCCAGGCCACCGACTGGGTAGGACGTACAGTACGTTACCAGTACAGAACAGTATGTTCTCTAGTTTTGGTTGTAAAATTACCTGATAGTGTTGCCACTTGGCCAAATGGTAGGAGCTGTCAAGGTCTTGCACATCAGTTTTTTGATAGAGAAGAAATCATTTATATGGAGCCTGGGTGAGTCCTAATTTTTTGCTTATTTTGTATACTATTGAACTGCTTTTTACTGGAAGTGGTCACAAGTATGTTTGGCAGATGCCTTATCACCATTTGTTGCTATTCTAACACAGCTCTTCATCTTTGTCTTTCAGCCAATCCCTCTTCTCATAATCACAGCCAGAACATCTGCACACTGTTTTAAGCAAGCAATTTTGCTTCTTATTAGGGAGTATAGAAAGCAAACTGCTGTATTCTAGGAAGAGTCTTCATGATGAAGCTAGGAATATATAATTTATGCAGAAAGACTGACTCTTGGTTAAAAAGTAAGAGGAGTTTGAAAAATTCTAGATTTGGTGCTGGTGGTTTCAGTC